TTACAGGTACTTCTGAAAATAATTCACTCCAGGGTATCTTTAGCATATGTAACCCCTTTTTCTCCCTCCTGGCTTTCTTGAAGAGGTAGGGAAGGGGTAAAAAAAAGAAAAAAAACAAAATGAAACCTCCAAAACACAATGCTAGTTATTTATTTCTCCTCTTTGGGATTTAGGACTGAGAATTTGAAAATGGCAGGTCAGCAGCCATCCTACAAGTTAACTGTTGCCAATGCCTATAAAGCTATAGTCACTTGAACATACCATTAAAGGACATTAGCTTCTTTTTTCTATTATTTTTACATAAGGCAAATGTGGAAATGTGAAAGAAGTGACAGTACTCTTAAAGCAGAGATCTTAAAAGAGATCTGCACATCTATTTATCTTATGTGAATCAAATGCGGGGGGAGCGTTGTTCCAGTTGGAAAGTTTCACACACTTTTAAATTAGCAAGTTTTATGTCCTTAGCAATGATATTAAGTGCTAGTTCTGTTCTAAAGTGTAATGGCAGCTGCCACTAGTCAGGAGTAAATGGCACCTGCCACTAGTCAGGAGTACACTGTTACTCAGTTAACTAACTGTGGATGTTTTAACATTAAGCCTTCTGTGAAGCCAGCCTTACTGGGAAACATCTTCAGGAAAGTTTAGGTTCCTTTGTACCATGGAGATAGGCTTGAAATAGTACTGTAACAACCTGAAGCAGAAGCCAAAAATGAAGGATTGTGTCTCAGAACATGTTGGGATCCCAGGAAAGTGTTTAGTTTCCTGATTTCTTCTGTAATATGCACGACTAGATACTACTAAAATATGCCATCTCAAATGATCTTTACTTGAGTATGTATGTAAACAGTAAAGAAGAAAAAAAAAAGAGGATAGAACCTTTAAAACTTTATTTGAAAACAGTCAAACAAGCAGATGCTCTGCAAACAGGGTTCTGCAATTCTCTTTTTTTTTTTTTTCCTCCCCTCTCTCTACATTTTTCCAGACTTTAGTTTTCTAAGTACTCATCTCCTTCTTCAGCCTCTGCTTCTACTGAATCTATGCCGACTTCTTCATAATCTTTCTCAAGGGCAGCCAGGTCTTCCCGGGCTTCAGAAAATTCTCCTTCCTCCATTCCTTCCCCAACATACCAATGTACAAAAGCACGCTTAGCATACATTAGATCAAATTTGTGGTCAAGGCGAGCCCATGCTTCAGCAATAGCAGTTGTATTACTCAGCATACACACAGCCCGCTGCACCTTTGCAAGGTCACCACCTGGCACCACAGTTGGAGGCTGGTAGTTAATGCCCACCTTCAAGAAAACACAAAAATTTTCCTTATGAGTGCTAAGGCTCAAAGACTTATTTCTATTAATAATCAAAAATTACCACAGTTAGAGCAAATAGAAGAGCTTACAGTTCTTTTGCACTTCCTAAAAATATTTAACAAGGACATTAGAACATTGTAGAATGACTGTTACCTCTAATATTACACAATTGCTAATAAATCAAACATTACGCACTTAAAAAGCAATCCAAGTACCTTGAATCCAGTTGGGCACCAATCCACAAACTGAATGGTACGTTTAGTCTTGATAGTAGCAATAGCTGCATTGACATCTTTGGGAACAACATCACCTCTGTATAACATGCAGCAGGCCATGTATTTGCCATGGCGAGGGTCGCATTTTACCATCTGGTTGGCTGGTTCAAAACAAGCATTAGTAATTTCGGCCACAGATAACTGCTCATGATAGGCTTTTTCAGCAGAGATGACAGGGGCATATGTTACCAGCGGGAAATGGATTCGTGGGTATGGAACAAGGTTAGTTTGAAATTCTGTCAGATCTACATTGAGGGCTCCATCAAAACGCAGCGAAGCTGTGATGGATGAAACAATTTGCCCAATTAATCGGTTTAAATTGGTGTAAGTAGGACGTTCAATGTCAAGGTTACGACGACATATATCATAAATGGCTTCATTGTCTACCATGAAGGCACAGTCTGAATGCTCTAATGTTGTATGGGTAGTTAGAATTGAGTTGTAGGGTTCCACTACAGCAGTGGAAACTTGTGGTGCTGGATAAATCGCAAATTCTAGTTTAGACTTTTTGCCGTAGTCAACAGAGAGCCTTTCCATGAGCAGAGATGCAAATCCTGAACCAGTGCCTCCTCCAAAACTATGAAAGATAAGGAAACCTTGTAGCCCTGTGCACAGATCAGCCTGTAATGGGGTGGGAAAAAAAAGTGGGAGGGAAACAAAAAAGTTATTATTTTGGAGAAAGCAGTATTAAAATAATAATTCAACAGCATTTCCTTCTTAGTGTGTTAGTTTTAGATTTTTATAATAAATCCCCCTGCATTCTTGAAAGGTGGTCTTCCTTTTTTTTGCTGTGTGCCTTTTACTCAAAAGTACCAGTGCCACTGCATAACTTCTTCTGGAGTATTCTAATATTTAAAAGTTGCTTTATTGTCTTTGATGCCATTTTAATTCTACTATAAACAAAAGCAGCTGAGCACCACTGCGATAAATTACTATAAATTACAGCTGGGTTATATCTTTAGAATCTGTTTGTTCCCATTCTGGCTTTCAGCAATTATCAATCATGTTAAACCCAAGTTTTTTATTTAAAATCACAAAAATTAAAAGACAATCACTACTTCATTCTGAATCACATGATCCTATAGGAGTTTCTCACAGTGCAGTGTCAGCCATTTTTTTTAAATCCTCAATATTCAACCAAAACCTCAGGTTAAGGGTACTATTTTGTGCCATGTATAATGGGCATGAAATCAAACTGAAAATTACAAACAATAAAGTGTAACAGCATTGTTACACTTGTTTAAAGGCTTTCTAATGTTTCTGAGGTATCCTTAAAATACTTTCAAATACTGGTATTTCAAAACCTAAAAAAAAGTACGTTTTATTTACTGAATTTTTATTTAACTGGGGGAGAGAGGAAGACGACCGAGTTTTAAACAATAAACTATGCACAAAATTCTTAGGGGAAAAACATCAAGCCGCTGTTATGGATAGCTGTAGAGCTGTATCAATTTTAAATACAGACTTGCAGCATGAATTCTTACCAGTTTGCGAATGCGGTCTAGCACTAGATCAACAATCTCTTTTCCAATGGTATAATGGCCTCTGGCATAATTATTGGCTGCATCTTCTTTCCCAGTAATGAGCTGTTCAGGATGGAATAACTGCCTATATGTGCCTGTACGTACTTCATCTGTAAGAAAACAAAACACCACAACATAGATTCAATCTGTTCAGTTCTCTGTGTGCTACTTAGTGACTACACACTAAGTGCACATGTCAGAAGAGTGTAGATGGCATCCTGGACTACAGACAGCTTGCCTGACTAGCCTAAAAAGCTGTCACAACTTCAGCTTCTTCGTTTAGGTGAAGACATCAGGCACTTATAAAGCAGTATTTGTTCCCGAGAAGAGGTTGACTCAGAACTCTAAGCTACATCACAGGTCCAGATAAGATTCTAGATATTAACTGTACAAAACTCTGAATGCAGTGCAGCACTCTAGAAAGATTATCCACACTGTAAAACAGTTCTGCTGTTTTCCAAATATTGTTACCCGTAGAACATAATTTCTTTAAAGTAACAGTAACCTCAAATGTCAAAAACAGTATGCAAACACACATCTTTCAAACTATAGTCTTCTGATCACACACACACAAAAAAAAAAACCATAGGGAATCTGTAGGGAGTTTTCACTTTTACATTTAATATCTTTAATGTTGGGTACATACCAACAACAGTTGGCTCTAGGTCCACAAACACTGCTCTGGGAACGTGTTTACCAGCTCCTGTCTCACTGAAGAAGGTGTTAAATGAATCATCTCCACCTCCTACAGTTTTATCACTAGGCATTTGACCATCAGGCTGGATTCCATGTTCAAGACAATACAATTCCCAACATGCATTGCCAATCTGAACACCAGCCTGACCAACGTGGATGGATATGCATTCACGCTGCAAATTGAAAACAAACAATGAGATATGGACATACCTGTCTTCCAGATTTTCTTCTCGTAATAACTAGCCATCTGTGGATTATATCTTTCCATGAACTTTCTCTGCTTCAGTATCCGCTGGTTGCTCGAGTGACTATAACTTATCAAATTCTCTGCTGCTTGCAAGACTCTACTTACCTTATCTTACTCAGGCTAACTTTGATAATATTGGAAGATCTTGAATACAACATAGTCTCTATGAACACATAGGGTGAATACAGATTCATTCTCCCTTACCATGCTGCATGGATATTATATCTTTAATATTCTGCTTAGTCTCTTTTTCTTAGTCTCTTAGTCTCCTTTAGTCTTGGAAGACTTCTTTATACAGCATTCCCTAATTTCCTTTATTTGTTGCAAAATCATGTACTGGGCAATAATTCTTCTTCCATAGGACCAATTATTATGTCTTCCTTTATAATAAGCAGATATTTCGGCCCTGGCAATTCATACATATTTGGGTTCCTTTGTGAAACCATCCAGGAGTCCTAATCAGATGTCACCTGCCCACTTTTAGCCAGCTACTTTGATTGTAAGCAACTGTGCCATGTATGATCTCTCAATACCTTGATTCTGTCTTACACCTGAAATGGAAATGAGCTGTTTTCTAGCTTACTGTTACAGCGTATCTAGAAAGAAGGTGAGGTGGAAAAGCCAAAGTAGGGCGCCTGGGCTGCTCTTTCCTTGGTAGCTTCATCAAATTCTGTATTCCTACTTTCCTGTTCTAATTTTCACGCCGTGGTTCTATCATTAGCCTTTTGCCAGCGAGACTACTTCTGTGCTCATTCCCACTTCTACTCAGCTGGCAGCCCGTTTCCAACACTCTCACTCCGCCTCACCGCTCGCGTTCCCCGGTACGGTGCTGCC